CAAAACATAACCAAATACTTCCAAAAAATATTCGTTATATACAAAAAGATGTGTATATAATATTATATATATATATATATATATATATATACACACATCTTTTGATATGATTTGAGTTGACCGCTTTACATATAAAATACATTATTTGTTTTTCCATCCTCATAATACTAAAACAAAATTATATCATTTAGTAATATGGTTCTTCATTAAGAAATGTATCACATTTTTTTTCGTCATGTCACTAAAAACGGTTAGACAGTTGTATTAGACTTACAGCAAAGAACAAATGTGACGGACTAGTATGAAAACATGTTTTTATCAAGTAGTAAAGTAATCTAATAATTAAATTAATGGGCTTGTTCGTTTTAGCTACACTGGGGCTGCTCTGGGTCTGCTCTACACAAGATAATACAGGACAGATAAATAGTTTGTCCTGTATTATCTTGTTTAGAGCAGACCCAGAGCTGCCCCAGTGCAGCTAAAACGAACAAGCCCAATAACTAACCCAGACAGCACATATGTTTAAAATCGAGACATAAGACATCTTAAAGACATCATTAAGACGTCTTTTAGATACCGTGTCTAAAAGGCGTCTTACTGACCTCTTTAAGCCGTTTTATGTCCCGATTTTGGACATGCGTGCTGTCTGGGAAGAAATAACTAATTTAAAAAAACACAAAATTTAGAAAATATGCAGTTTAACTTTAGTAATAAATTTTAGTAATAAACTTTAATAATAAACAAAACTTATCAATTAAAAATCAACTAACAAATCTCAATATTAAGTTCCATGTATCTTAACATGTCTCCCTTCCGCGATTTCTCTCTTTCTATAACATTAATCACTTTCAGAGGACGCATTACAGTTTTCAGTATTGTCATCACAATCTTAATACTGTCCATTTCAGGCATGTCTTTGAATAAATTATTATTGCATGAAAAATCCGACATTTCTTCCTCTTCTACAATTACCGCAATACTTTTACTTCTTAAATGTTGTCGTTGTTTGGCAGCTCGAAAAACCTCCATAATTTCCAATTTGAATTCAGCCCTACTTTCAGGCCCTTTAAAATTTGGACACATTTTTGCCGCATCTAAAAAACATAACAGTATTTATACATTATATAAATGTTTGAAAAATTAAAATATCAATTCCAATATATGTAGCTTTTTATTGTGTTTTATAAATATAAAAAATACATACAAAAAAACACTTTTTGCAATTTGTGTATTATAAAAGGCTAACGACTCCTTCGTTTGACCCCAATAAGTAAATTTGCACGTTAACTCATCTGTCATCGTTTCTTTTTGAAAATGGCTGAGAGCTTCTCTTAATTTTAGGCCACCGACAAATTTAAGATATGTTAGCTGCAATAAATTTGAATAATTAATGTATAATGAGATATAGAACAAACATTTTTATACTTTTTGCAGCAGTGTGTAAAGCTGATAGTTAACAATTTACTGTAATAGTTCTTTTATAAGATTTTAAAAATGCTTTACAGTTTTATCTGTTTTTATTTCATAAGATATCAATTGTAAGATATTTGTGTATAACATTTAATTGTGTACTTAATTTATAAGAGAAATTATGAACAGCTAAAAAATTTTTAGGAAAAAGTCTTGAACCTGAATAGATATCTATTTCTCATACATTTTTGGTCATTGAATACGAATCTGTATTTTATTTCACCGTATCGTATTCCTAATTTTTTTAACTCAATTTTTCTTTAAGTTTTTTTAAGTTAAAGTTTTTTAACTTAATTTTCGAACTATTTCTGATCTCAAGTCTAAATTTTGTTTAAAACGCAAAAAGGTGTAACAAAATACAGAACCATATTTATACACACATATACACACAGTGACCCAAAATTGGTAAGAATACCTTTCTGATATATTCATAATATATTACAAAAATATTTTATTACTGTCGTCTTTATTATAAAAGTTATTATATGTTTATTGAAAAATACATATTACTTACCAATTCTTGCAGACGGTCTGTATCAGCTTCTAAATTTTAAAATTCTTCAATCGTTTTTAATGGAAAACCATCGGGTCTTTTATATAAGTTGTTTTGCATCGTCAACGTGTGATGTCTTTTTAAAACTTTTATGTCTGATAATAATTCCAAATTTTGCTTTATCACTTGCCTGCAGTGAAAAATATATAATTGTACATGCATAATAAAATAAAAACTACAACAATAAAAGCATATTATAATATTTGAATATAATATACAATAACAATTTTTCATAGACTTAAGGTAAATTTTATCATCAGTTAAACTCTATTTCTATCTCTATCTTACCTCTTAGATAAGATAAAAATAGATGTTGAGTTTAACCGAC